ACGTTAGATCGCCTCTGACTATATTTATTAAAAATTGTTAGCTGACGTTAGATCGCCTCTGGCTTGTCTTATTCTATATTGCCAGTCTACAAGAAAGCCGCCTCTGGCTTGAAGACAAGAATAAGAATTTTCTAATGCCAGTCCACGAGAAAACCGCCTCTGGCTTGAAGACAAGAATAAGAATTTTCTAATGCCAGTCCACGAGAAAACCGCTTCTGGCTTGTCTTATTCTTTATTGTAAGATACTTTTATTACGTCATATGCTCTATGTACATATATAATGTATATTATATGCTCCATATTATCTATATTCATATCAAAATATCTTTCTAAGAAATTGACATCATTTTGTATACTTTTTTTACAATAAATGTATGATATATGCCATATTTTTTATTTCTAAAGCATGAAATATAAAGATATTTTTATTTTTTTGTGTCTATTATTTGTAAAATAATCTTGATAAAAGAAACAACATTTAATTTTGCGACTTGCAATAATCTGTTTTATTATATGCTTCTTTTAAATACTTACAATTAGCCTTATTTTATGTGATTAACTTGGTATTTAAAATACGTATCAAAATCGAAAATGTATTTGTATTACAGTAGAAACGAAACATTCTTGTCTTACAACAGAGAGAAGTGGCAAAATATAATATTGTCTAAAGTACAGTCTAATAAAAACTGTTAAAATTGAACATTTTATAAAACCACTGTGATTCATGAAAAATCAGAACTATTATTTAAAAAATATAAACATATTTCGACTGTGTGTTTTAAACTGCACCACACATTCAAAATTCACAGAATAAAATTATTTCTGCAAAGTTGTGTATAATGTCAGTGGAAAAGTGATTTATTTGTTATTACATATACATGATATTTTATCATTCCTCTCTGGTGTAAGACTACAATGTTTTTTTTCTACTGAACTAGAAATTAATTTTACATTTTGATGTGTATTTTAGATACCAAGGTAAACGCATAAAATAAGGCTAATTGTAAGTATTTAAAAGAAGTATATATTGAAACAGATTATTGCAAGTCACAAAATTAATGTTTTTTTATCCAAATTTTTTTACAAGTGATACATACAAGAAACTAAAAATACCTTTATATTTCATGCTTTATAAATAAGTTATATGACATATACATTTATTATAAAAATATATACAATATACAAAATAATATTAACTTTTTACATAGATACTTTGATGTGAATATACATAATATGGAGCACATAATATATATAATATAAACACATGAAGCACATGAATAAAAGTATTTTACAGAAATTAGAATATGAACGTATGTAACTAAATAATATAAATATTTGCAAAAATGTTGCAAAATTTATGTATAATACATACACTTTTTTATCCTTCAGAGTGCCTTCAACCCATTTTTTTCAGCCGGGTTTTGTAGCACATAACACAAACACACACACACACGCACAACTAACACACATAACTAACCTAAAAGATTCTGTATATGACAGATCAGTGTTGCGATATGGGACCGGTTGTATGCGCATGTGCGGCTCTGCGCATGTGCGGTGATGGAGATCCAGTGCCGTTATATGTTATGTGTTGACCGTATGGCGGGACGTTTTGACATGAGAAGGTCTGGTGACTACAAATAAGGTAAGATTTATTTATTTACAAGCATGGAATCTACGGAGCCAGCAGCTAAAAAACCAAGAAGTAAAAATTTCAATCAATTTCAAAAAATGTAGAAATATTTTTAATGTAACGGGGTAACGGTGCCTTGTTTAATTTGTATGAGACACTGTACTGACGCCGTATTGCCGCACATGCGCATACAACCGGTCCCATATCGCAACACTGTGACAGATAGCACTGAGAACTGTATAGCGCCTCTATCCCAAAATCGCGGAACTAATCTATAGCTCTTTTCTACCATTTTCTTCTATATTGCACGCATGCTTTGCATAAATCTGGAAAAGTATGGCATTTTGAAAATAAGTCTCTAAGCTCTATTTTTTTGGTTTTCCATTAAAGTTTCATACGCTCTTCTTCGGCACACACTCTTGTTTTGCAGATTGAAGCAGTATAATTTTGATATAAAAGATATAATTCTTTGAGGTAACATTGTCGATAAATTTTCAAAAATTTTTTTATTTTTGGTTTAAATTTCACTATCCACCGAAAGATTAGCATGTGCACTTTACTTACACCAAAGGATTTGTAATTCTATCAAAGCAATAAAAAATGCCATACTTTCCAGAAAATTAGAAGTTCGGTCGGTAACAATATGACTTCAGCATCCTCTTAATAATATAATATTATTCCAAATGCCAGTAGTTGATGTCAAGAGTGCTTAAAAATAATATCTGACTCAAGTGTTTTCCCGAGAGCTTATTACGATCTTCAGACATAATTCTACCAGCCTTTGAAAATGGCCTCTCAGCTGGGACGACGTTCCTATGAGAGTCAAACTCTTGGTGGCTAAATCTTGGCTAAAAGGTTGTTCTGTTTTTCGAAGTTCCGACTGTCATGGGACAGCACCCTAAAGATGTAAGTTATGTGCAGAACGCTCTGCGCAGCACATGACGCGTGTAAACCTAACCTAACCAAATCATACAAAAAAGGCGGGTTTCGACTGCAGAGGAGCAATAATGACAGCCTATGACAACCTGTACAAACACGCTATTTACTTATCTATAACTGTTGAGATTTTGTTCACGTTACTTAATTATTAGTGTTTATTCAGAATTAGTAGTTATTTATAATATATTACACAAATACCGTTGCAATTCGCTGTTTATTTTCGATATGGAAACTTTGCAAAACACGGGAGCTTTTCGTCCCAAAGCGAATAACAAAAGAAATCCAAATCAAGAGGCCAATGCTCCTGGGTATAGTATTTTTCAAATTATATGTTATATTTACTTTATCGTTACACTTGTTAGACTTAATCACATGTTCCTCTAATTTTTTGTTTAATTTTTCAGAGAAAATGCATTGGGAAGATTATTGGAAATCAAAGAGGACATTAGGATTGATGGTGTGTATGGATTTCGAAGAGTTACTGATTCAAGAGAGAGAATAGGATTTTTGCTAAACATGCATGCGGTAAAGAAATGGGAATATAATGTTTTGCACAAGCAGTATATATGATATTCATTTTGATGCTTCTTTGTAGACTGACATTGTGGAAGATGATAAGCGTATGTTAAGTGGTGTGGATTATTATTTCATAGAAGAAGATGCAACGAGATTTAAAGTATCCTTGCCATATTCACCATATTTTTACATTTTATGTCGTAAAAATACCTTTGAAGAAGTGTCAACGTTTTTATCTAAGAAGTATACAGGAATTTTGGTGAAAATTGAAACTATTTACAAAGAAGATCTTGACTTGGTAAGATATATTTATATATTGTTTTTTTTTTTTAATTTTCCTTAATATTTTTTGAAGTATTTTAATATTTTTCTTCTTTTAAGAAAATACAATTCTTTTTATTTGTTCTTTTTTTAATTATTCCAGCCTAATCATTTGATTGGTTTGAAACAAAAATATCTGAAACTTTCGTTTGCAAATACAATTGATTTAATAAAAGTTAAGCGCGACATTATGTGTGTTGTTAAAGTCAATAAGGAACGAGAGAAGAGTAATACTTATTATACAGACATGCTAGCAACTACGTTGCAACCAACTGAACAAGATAACAGGCAAATTTTAGATCACATGGATAACATTCTTGATATTAGGTAATTATGCATTATTTTTTGTTTCTCTTTTTTTATTGATATTTCTATGAACATTTATTTAATTTGCATCTTTTATTTTTACACATACATTTAATGATGATTATTTAGGGAATATGATGTACCTCATCACATTCGAGTGTCTATAGATGCTAACATATTTTGTGGAACTTGGTACTCTGTAAAGACCAGAGGTAATGAACCACCTGTTATTGTGCGAAAAGAAGACATGATTGAACCACCTGAGCCTATTGTGTTAGCATATGATATTGAAACTACAAAACTGCCATTGAAGTTTCCAGATTCTAGTTTTGATCAAATTATGATGATATCATACATGATAGATGGACAGGTATGCCCCTATTTTAAAGTAAAATAAATAACTCTTACATTTATCTTAGTTTTTAAGTGAAATGGTTATTCTTTTACTGTCATTGAAAGGAATTTATATTTATTACAGGGCTACTTGATAACAAATAGAGAATTGGTCTCTGCAGATATACAAGATTTCGAATATACACCAAAACCAGAATTTGAAGGTCCCTTCACAGTGTTTAATGAGCCTAATGAGAAAGCAGCAATAACAAAGTTTTTTGATCATATCAATGAAATAAGGCCGCATATATTTGTAACGTACAACGGTGATTTCTTCGACTGGCCATTTGTTGAAGCTCGAGCAGCTGTACATAATATGGACATGAAAGAGAGGATTGGTTTTTCTAAAAACCGTGATGATGTTTACGTCAGTAGAGCTGCTATGCATATGGATTGTTTGTGGTAAATATTCTGAGATATAATAAAATACATTACTGTATGCAATTATTTTTATCACGCAACGTTTTTTGCACAAAGTTGGGTAAGACGTGATTCTTACCTCCCGGTGGGCTCCCAAAACTTGAAAGCTGTTGCTAAAGCAAAATTGAGATATGATCCTGTGGAGCTCGATCCTGAGGACATGTGCAGATTAGCATCAGAAGAACCGGAAGTACTTGCAAACTATTCCGTCTCTGATGCTGTAGCGACATTTTATCTCTACCAGAAGTACATTCATCCTTTCATATTTGCGTTATGTACCATTATTCCTATGGAACCCGACGAAGTAAGAAAAAAATATACATCGCTTATGTACATACGTGTGTTTATTAACTTGTTTTTGTTAAAAAGGTCGTTTTGATTCTTTTCTAGGTACTCAGAAAGGGATCCGGCACACTGTGCGAATCGCTTCTCATGGTACAGGCTTTTGAAGCTAATATTATATTTCCTAACAAACAAGAAACCGAGCTGAATAAATTGACAAAAGATGGCCATTTGCTGGATCAAGAAACTTACGTAGGCGGACATGTGGAAGCTTTAGAATCAGGCGTTTTCAGAGCTGATATTCCTTGCCGCTTTAAAATTATACCAAGCGCTGTAAATGAATTAATCAGCGGTGTGGAAAACGCCTTAAAACACACGATACAAGAAGAGGAGAAAGTGCCACTTGAGATGGTTACGAATTTTGATGAAATAGTGAACGAAGTCAAAGGAAAATTGGGGGAACTCAGAGATCAGCCACTGAGATTGGAAAACCCTGTAATTTATCACTTGGACGTAGGCGCTATGTATCCGAACATTATTTTGACTAATAGATTACAACCTTCCGCGATAGTGAACGAAATGGATTGCGCAGTATGTGATTACAACAAACCCGATGCTCTTTGCCAAAGAAAGATGAAGTGGATGTGGAGAGGCGAATATCGTAAGTTTTAATACGAAATAACACTGCAAGTCATTTTTTTGTCGTCATTTTCTATAAGTTATTATTTTTTTCGATTTGAAATGTAAATACATCACGACATATTTCAGTGGCTGCAAGTTTGGGTGAATATCAAAGAATAAAGCAACAATTGGAGACCGAAAAATTTCCACCGCAATTCCCTGGCGGTCCTAAGAGAGCTTTTCACAAATTAACAACAAAGGAGCAAGCTGCATTTCAGAAAAACAGGCTTACAGAGTACTGCAAAAAAGCTTACAAGAAAGTCAAAATTACCAGAATGGAAGAGAGAATGCAAACAGTCTGTCAGAAGGAGAATTCGTTTTATGTAGACACCGTGAGGGCATTTAGAGATAGAAGATACGAATATAAAGCGTTAACTAAAGTCGCCAAGCGACAAGTAGCATCGGCAGTCGCGAAAGGCGACGCGGGTGACATAAAATCTGCCAAGAATAGAGAAATTTTGTACGATTCTCTACAACTCGCTCACAAATGTATCCTCAATTCTTTCTATGGCTACGTAATGAGAAAAGGGTAAGTTGAAATATATAACATTAAATATTATAAAGAATCTTATTGATTTTATTACATCCTTGTTGAACACTTTTTCTCTTCTTTAAACATTTGTATAAAAATTTTCTTTATACGCATTAAAATTACAGAGCACGATGGCACAGCATGGAAATGGGAGGGATTGTATGTTACACGGGAGCTCACATTATCATGAAAGCTAGAGAAATTATAGAACAGATCGGCCGCCCACTCGAGCTGGATACCGACGGTATATGGTGCATATTGCCTGCATCTTTTCCAGACTCAATTGTAGTTCACACAACTCATGAAAAGAAACCGAAATTTACGATTTCTTACCCGAACGCGGTTCTTAATTTCATGGTGAAGGTGTGTATAATTAAATAGAGAAATTTTTTTTTTTTTCTTTCAATCAATGTGTTGATTTTTTCATGCAGGATCAATTTACCAATGAAGTGTATCACGAGCTTGTGAGTAAAGATGATTTAACGTACGAGATTAAAAATGAGAATTCCATATTTTTCGAAGTCGACGGTCCGTATCTGGCGATGGTATTGCCGGCTGCCAAAGAAGAGGGAAAGAAATTGAAGAAGAGATACGCGGTTTTTAATTTCGACGGTTCGCTCGCCGAACTGAAAGGATTCGAAGTGAAAAGGAGGGGTGAGCTGCAGTTGATAAAAATCTTTCAGGCTTCCGTTTTTGAATCTTTCTTGAAGGGCAACACGCTGGAAGAGTGCTACGCTTCGGTTGCAAAGGATGCGGATTATTGGTTGGATTTGCTTTACAGCAAGTGCGCGAACATGCCCGACTCTGAATTATTCGAACTCATATCCGAGAACAAATCTATGTCGCGCAAGCTGGAAGACTACGGCGCTCAGAAATCAACGTCTATTTCCACGGCTAAAAGATTAGCCGAATTCTTAGGCGACGAGATGGTCAAAGACGCGGGTCTCGCTTGTAGATACATTATAGCGAATAAACCGCAAAGCGCGCCAGTTACCGAACGCGCGATACCGTTGGCGATCTTCCAGTCGGAACCAGCCGTTCGAAGGCATTATCTGAAAAAATGGTTGAAAGATCCCACTTTGTACAGCGACGACATAAGAGACATCTTGGACTGGAACTACTACATCGAGCGACTTGGGAGCGCTATTCAAAAGATAATCACTATACCGGCAGCGATGCAGGGCCTGCCGAATCCAGTTCCCCGGGTGCAGCATCCGCCTTGGTTACTTAAAAAAGTGTCAGAGAAGAATATGTCTCATCGTCAGAAGAAGATCACGGACATATTCGCCGTAACAGCTAGAGAGACGACTGCTCAGAACGCCGGAGGGCCCCGCGATATCGAAGATCTCGCGGTACCGTCAACCAGCAGCAAGAATCCGTCACTTCCGATCGTCAGTAGAAGAAAAAGGCAGCGTCCGGAGGACGACGAAGTGATCAGAGCCAAAAGTTGGAAGGAAGCTCTGGGTTCACCACCTCCCAGGGGATCGACGAGAGAGGAGAGGATGAAATGGTTGGAGTTTCACAAGAAGAAATGGGCCTTTCAGGCCAGACAGAGGGATCAGCATCGGCGGAAGAGAAGCCGAACGGGTGAGAGCGACGGGATCCCCTGGGGAGTTATACGAAACACAAACACGTCGACTATGACCGGCTTTCTGAGACGCGCTCAGAGGAAATTGCTCGAGACTCCTTGGCAGATTGTTCAGCTGTCGGAGAGCGGCGAGCCGGGCATGTTTCGACTGTGGATACTGGTCGACGCGCAACTGCACCAGGTGCGTCTCGTGGTACCGCGTGTGTTTTACGTGAACGCGCGCAAAGCGAGGCCCGATCCGGGGCCCAATGCGCTCTGGAAGAAGAGCTTCAAGTCTTTACCGCGTTCGCGTCCGGTGTACAACTTGTATCAGTACTCGTTGCCGGAGTCTCTGTTCCAAGAGCACAGTCGGGAGCTCCTCGCGGATCTGAGTAAACCAGAAATCGAAGGGATCTACGAGACGCAGGTGTCGTTGGAATTCCGAGCGATAATGCAACTGGGATGCGTGTGCGCGGTCGATCCGCGTGCCGCGCGTAGAATGGCGGACGGCGCCGACACCTTCACCTTGGATCAGCTGGAATTCAAGAGCATCGCCGTCCAGCATTACTTCAAAAGAGCCGAGTCGATCAACTACATCTTTCTTTATCACCACTGGAGCTCGAATCGTCAAAGGGCGTTGTGGGGCTTGTTTTTGAACGCCAGCAGGAAAAGTCACATATTCGTCTTGGATTCGGTGGCTTCCAATCAACTGCCAAACATGAATGTGTTGTACTCGCAGGAGCGCAAGGCGACGTTGGAGAAAAACGGCGAGGAGAAGATAAGCAGATTGCCGAAAACTATGCAGTTCACGATACAGACGGAAACAAGCTTTCAGCAGGTGTGCCGCACGCTGCAAACGGCTTTGACGACGTACAAGAATGAGAGCCACGGCGCCACGATTATCATTAATCAAACCGCTCTCGACAGGACGGCGCTGACGACCGAGATGCCGCTGCTGAATGAATTCCCTCTCGTCAGCACGCACGTGCGAGACGTGGAAAATCTGTACGGCACGTTGGAGTGGCAGAAGGTGGGGGCGAAGATGATGGTCAGGCACTACCTGAAGAGCCAGCAGATCGTCGAACTGATGATAGAACAATGCCGCTTCTTCCACGCGCCTATCGGCAACGTACCCATAGATCCCACCCTCTTCGGCGCGGATCTGTTCTACGCCAGGCACTTGCAGAGGAACAATTTCGTCCTCTGGTGCTCGCCGACGGAGAAACCCGACTTGGGCGGCAGCGAGAACGACGATAACAGGCTGCTGACGGACTTTGAGGAAAGTTCGAGTTGCGCCGCGAACAACTCGGGCACGTATTCCAGCGTATGCGTGCAGCTGGACGTGGAAAGCTTGGCGATCAACGCGCTGTTGCAATACTACCATATTCACGATGTAGATGGAACCAATACGTTTGTGACGTTCCACAATCAACAGCGTCCGTCTGTTCAGGTAAGTCCAGCCACCTAAACAAAACTTGTTTTGAGAAAATATTTTTTTTAAATTAACGATGCATCTTTTATGTGCGCATATTTCTTTTTATTGACAATTTTGCATTTGAATTCGACAGGATATAGCGACGGGGGATACCGCGACAATTATTCCCAGCTACGACGAAAATCACTCTGTGCAACCCAGCGTTTAAAACATTGCGAAGCATGGTGAATGCGTGGTTGCTCGAAGTGTCGCTTTACAAAAACGTATTCGCAGATTATCAGTTGATCCACTTCTATCGGTATGTCATGTTATTCGATATATCACTCGTTGTGTTATATAAACACATATTTGTATGATTCCAGATGGCTGAGATCTTCGAATGCTTTGCTTTACGATCCTGCTCTGCGTCGCACTCTACACACTTACATGAAAAAGTTATTCATACAATTGATAGCAGAGTTCAAGACATTAGGTTGCATCATAGTGTTCGCAAATTTTAACAAAGTCATTGTGTGCACAAAGAAGAGATCCGTGAGCGATGCTTTAGGCTACATAGAATTTGTTGTTCAAACTATAAGGAACAAGGAATTGTTCCACAGTATCGAAATTACGTACGATCAATGTTGGGAATATCTAATATGGCTTGACTTGGTATGTCGATCTTATTTACGTAAAATAACACTAATTTCTTTAATGTATATTCCGTTTTTTTCCATCTACTAATTACTGTAATAAATTCAATACGAAACTTGTTGAATAGCACAATTACGCTGGTATTAAGGGGCAATTATCAAAGCATAGAAACGATGATACCAGAGAAAATGAGAATACTGCAGACGATACTGATGACACGGTAAATAAAATAAATAGTTTTATAATTATTTTTAGAAATCCCATCAATTATTGCGATTTAATATACTTTTTCCATCACCGAATACTTATTCATGATTACTTTATTTTTGTTTAGCCTCAAATAGTAATGAATTGGAGCTTGATGGAGTGCCTGCCACAAGAAGCGGGATGCCAAGCGAGTTTCAATGCTGTGACAGCAGGATATATAAACGCAGTGTATCAGTGTATGATGGAGACTGAAACGAATAATACTGTAAGGCCGAGAAGACAGAGCCAAAGTCAGTCGGTTGTAGGACCGCTTGGTTTAGGCGCATTGGAAAATACGGCGGAGTTTGCGAAGAAATTAATATCAGGAGAAATGTCCCAAAAATTATTCAAGTATATTCATGAATTTTGCAATTTGTCACAAAATTAGGTCAATAATTTTAACGATTTCTAAATTTTTGTATTTTCAGAATAGCGCAAAAGATACATCGGAATTTGCCAGAAAAAACATTAACGCTCAAAGAATATCCCAATTTGGATATGGGTGGAAAAGAAAGTATAAAGATTAACCCCGCTCTTGAATTAATCAAAGCAATATGCAAGGTAAGGACATGATTGTCGTTCACTTATTAAATACTTCAGGTAAAATCGCCGTCCAAGATATCGAAGATTTGGAAAATTTCAGGTTTTATCTCTGGACAAAGTTGTAGAACATGAAGTTTTTGACTTGAAAGCAAATCTATTACGGCTGATTGGAGTTGGCAGCTACGGCGATAATGTCGAGTGGAAGGAACCATGCATCTCTCTCATTCTACCGGAAATTATATGCAAAGCGTGTAATCACACGAGAGATATTGATCTTTGTAAAGATCAACATTACACAATTGAAAATAACAGGTACGTTAGATGCGTAGTTAACACAATTGGAATAAAAAGGCATCTGTTGCATTATCACATTGTTACAGGCACATGTGGAAATGTCCTTTCTGTGATACTTCTTACGATAATACGGAAATAGAATTTTTATTAATTGATAAATTAAACCGCAAAAGCATGGGTTATATATTGCAAGATCAACAATGTCGAAAGTGCAAGGAAATTAAGCGAGAAAATATGAACCTGCTGTGCTCTTGCTCGGGCGAGTACGATAATTTAATCCCGTATGACGAGATCACAACGTTTACAAATATATGTAAATCAATAGCCAACAAATGTAAAATGAATCTTTTGGCGGAGATAGTGGACAATACAAAACTCTTCGCAAGTTAGTAATAAAATAGAATAATAATTCAAGAATAATTCTTATGATGTTACATCAACTAAATTCATTAATTTCTTTCATTTGATTTGAATTATATCAGGTTAATGAAAGAGACTGAAATAATACATAACTGTAGTATAATATATTTTTGGATGACTTTTACGATTACTTAATATTTAATAATTCAACCGTCAGTACATGAAGATTCTATGATACACATCGACATTAACTTTTTACTCAATTTTACTTATCAAGACCCGTGTCCACAGGTGGATCTAAAACACAAAGGTAATAACTATAGCATCATTTTAATTCTATATACGTATGCTCATATATTTGAGTAAAAGTAAAACCTTTATAATAAAGTTTGAATTTACAAGTGCGTAGTTGTACCTAAAAGATAGAAATAAAAATTACGTACCATCAAATTTAAATTGAGGAAATTGTGTCATGTCCACTCCTTTACCACCGCCATATTGTGTGTTAAGTTTTTCTATTTCGGACTCCCGTTCCTTTATAATTTCTGGACTGGCATCAACTAATTTTCCAGATCTTAAATTGAAAAGAATATTTTTATAGCATTAAGTTATTTATTTTAATCTATTACTTTGTAACGATTAAGATAAAGATAATTGCAAAAGCATTAATTATATTTTAATAAATTTAAGTTATATCCATGCTCTGATTTTATATCAATTATTTACTTTTCTTTTTTTATCTTAAATTTTAATTGAAAGTATAATATATTTGCATATAACATATCAAGTGCAATTAATTATTACTCTAATACTGCTTTTGCAAGATTATAACTAAAAATATAGTTTGCATTCTTACAAAATAAAACGACTTCTAATCAGATTTTGAAAATATAATAACATTAGCTTGTAGAGTAGAAACAAAATATAATAAAAAATTACAATATATAATTGTCTAAAAAAAATGCACTTACACGCTCTTGGATTTGTAGTCGCGGATTTTATCAAGGAAGAGCTGCTGTATGGGGTCACTGGCTTTCTGTGAAGCTGGAATATTGGTGTTGATGCTACGTTTGATAGTTTTTGGCAAACTAACGATGAAACGTGACCTCAGCATGATGGCCTAAAAAAAGAAATTATATATAATTTTTAAAGATTATTTTATATAACTGTCAATAAGGATAATTTCTCCTGTATATATTGCACGCTACAAATTTCTATTTAAGTAACTTTTTTATTGAAAAATGTAGGTGATTATTATTAAATTGAGAATTATTTGTGTTAAATATCAAATTTTGTTAAAACAAAAATAAAATTTTATTATTCGTTAAATTTCTCTTACGTAATAAACGCAATGATATTTGTTGGTTAGCTCAGTTTAAAATGAGTGACATACACAGATTAAAACACTTGTTTTAGTTATAAATAAACCAATTGCAATAATGTTGATGATATTATATTATGTATATATCAATAAATATTTAATATAACAAATTTACTTCTTATGTCAGCGTTGAGTCGCGTATAACCTAATATTTTGATCACAGAATAATCAGAAGAACCAAGAACGAACAGACGTCGCAAATGCTCTAGACATGAACTAAATATTATTAAAGATGTGGAATTGCGAATAAATTTCATAAGGATGCCGTCACATACCAAGATCTATAGAGAGAAGGTTACCTCACGCGCAAAGAGGGAACGAGCGGCAAGAGACG